AGTAAGTCAGTCACCCCCCTAAGTACCATGTAATATCTGTTTTTCTGGGAAATGTACCATGTACTAACTGTATTTTGGAAGAAAAAATTACCCACTCCCCCCCCCCCCCAACGTCACGTACGGTACTAAGTGTATGATCCCCCCCCCCCCCCCCCCCCCCCCCCCCCGATTTGAAAATAGATTGAATATATTGAGCCCAGTCACCCTGATAGCCCGGGGAAATATAATTATTCTACCTGACTGTGAGAACCTGAGCATTACCATGACGACGCAGTAAGCACTAGAGCAGTATAAAGTAAGCAGTAAACCAAATTAAGGCTACAATACAACTAATTATTATCTAAATTGAAAACATCTATTTCAAGGTTACTCTAGGTCAGGCCATGTAATGTCTGTTTAAAGTGCATTAACAATAATTGAAAACGAAACGCACAGTGTTTTAAAACTAAATTACAAATTGTTGCTTGTATCATTATGCCGTTATATGAAAAGTAAATAAGTTATAACGGAAAGAAACCTTCAAAGTGTGGCCTCTCTTTCATCTCTCAATGGCTCTTCAAAAATACGGAGAAAACCGTATAACAAAACACCCTAAAATGCTTCCCTTTGAAGTTATTGTAAACAAAGTCATTTTTAATCTGCAAAGCCAAAAAATCACATTTTTTTAAAGCTGCTCTTTACGCCGGAGACGCAAAGAGCAGTCAATGAACGTGAAATATCTGAGCAGCACTTCTCTGGTAAATCACAAGCTTTTAAATGTAGTTACAAGAGCGGGGGGGGGGGGGGGGGCACAAGAGCGATATAGTCAGATTATAATGGTCTTTCAGCAAACACTGTTCTGAACTTGAGTTGTTTAATGCTGTGCCACAACCCTACGATTTTCGGAGATAAAAATGAACTCTTGGAAAGAACTGTGGCCGTGAATGCAAGTTTAACTGCAAGTTAAACAGTTAACAATAATATTTACTGAGCTTCGCAATCAACACAGTCTGGCTAAATGAACAATTGTCAAGTAAGTTATCAAATTAAGAAACACAAATATTAAAGGGGAGTTGACTCCCCTGAGAACACCTCGAATATACCGCTGCTGTACTACCATTTACCGCATGACCACTAGCGCCCCTTATATATCGTCAAATTGAAACACTAAAAGAGATTGTCAAGACATCAATATTGGAAGCTACTATTAATTAAGTTTACGACTCATTCGGCGGCCAATGTCTCATCAACATTTTCAAGTGATGAGTTTCGAACTAATTTCGAGGGGCCCTTAATTAGCTGATATTTTGTTATGAACTAACAAAACTGTAGCCGTAAATGCAAGTTTAACAGCAAGTTAAACAGTTGGTATATTATACCGTGCTTTGCATTTAACCTCCCCGAACCAACCCAAAGTAGCTTAGTGAACAATTGTCAAGTTAATTATCAAGTTTAATCTCAGGTGGCAGAAAATTAGCCTCCTCGCACGGGTCAAGATAGTGTGTTGATAAGTGTTGCTATGTGTTGCTATGTGTTGCTATGTGTTGCTATGTGTTGCTATGTGTTGCTAAGGGCAACTGTAGAAACTAGCCCGGTTGTCCTCATAGAATGCCAAAAGATTCCTCAAAATTTGGACTGCTTAATTACAAGATTGTCTCATTACTTTGAGCGACCTACGTCAAGGGAAATCATTAGTGGTGCAAAATGATCCCTCCCGCTGCCCACCCTTCCTCCCTCCCCCTCTTTTTACCGTCCTTACAATAAACTGATGCATATATTTTCAGGGAACTGCCGGACGGGACGGACTGGTGGAGAATGTTGTCTCTGTTCGTGATCCAGCTGCTCAGATACCAGTGTTTCAGTCTCTGGTGGCTGATATACTACGTCATCCTGCCCTACCTCTACAAGTACTCCGAGTACAAGTGGCCCACCAACTGTCACGTGGCTTACCTCATGATAGCGCTCTTTACTCAGGTACTTACCTCATGATAGCGCTCTTTACTCAGGTACTTACCTCATGATAGCGCTCTTTACTCAGGTACTTACCTCATGATAGCGCTCTTTACTCAGGTACTTACCTCATGATAGCGCTCTTTACTCAGGTACTTACCTCATGATAGCGCTCTTTACTCAGGTACTTACCTCATGATAGCGCTCTTTACTCAGGTACTTACCTCATGATAGCGCTCTTTACTCAGGTACTTACCTCATGATAGCGCTCTTTACTCAGGTACTTACCTCATGATAGCGCTCTTTACTCAGGTACTTACCTCATGATAGCCCTCTTTACTCAGGTACTTACCTCATGATAGTGCTCTTTACTCAGGTACTTACCTCATGATAGCGCTCTTTACTCAGGTACTTACCTCATGATAGCGCTCTTTACTCAGGTACTTACCTCATGATAGCGCTCTTTACTCAGGTACTTACCTCATGATAGCGCTCTTTACTCAGGTACTTACCTCATGATAGCGCTCTTTACTCAGGTACTTACCTCATGATAGCGCTCTTTACTCAGGTACTTACCTCATGATAGCGCTCTTTACTCAGGTACTTACCTCATGATAGCGCTCTTTACTCAGGTACTTACCTCATGATAGCGCTCTTTACTCAGGTACTTACCTCATGATAGCGCTCTTTACTCAGGTACTTACCTCATGATAGCGCTCTTTACTCAGGTACTTACCTCATGATAGCGCTCTTTACTCAGGTACTTACCTCATGATAGCGCTCTTTACTCAGGTACTTACCTCATGATAGCGCTCTTTACTCAGGTACTTACCTCATGATAGCGCTCTTTACTCAGGTACTTACCTCATGATAGCGCTCTTTACTCAGGTACTTACCTCATGATAGCGCTCTTTACTCAGGTACTTACCTCATGATAGCGCTCTTTACTCAGGTACTTACCTCATGATAGCGCTCTTTACTCAGGTACTTACCTCATGATAGCGCTCTTTACTCAGGTACTTACCTCATGATAGCGCTCTTTACTCAGGTACTTACCTCATGATAGCGCTCTTTACTCAGGTACTTACCTCATGATAGCGCTCTTTACTCAGGTACTTACCTCATGATAGCGCTCTTTACTCAGGTACTTACCTCATGATAGCGCTCTTTACTCAGGTAATTTTTTTTTTCTTCTTTTTTTTTCTTCTTCTCATATGCAACCTACTAAAACCAATGGAGCCCTCCCCGGGGTCATTCCTCTCAGGTAATTTCTTTTGAAACTTCCATCAAATAATGCACAATTATACAACAAGGGAACCTGATTGAGATCAATGGTGACGAAGAATTTTTAGGCTGGGAAAATGCTCGGACTAATGATATCACTGACATTAATTTAATCGTTTCGCTGACATTAGCGCACAAGTTAACGGATTTACGGAATTATCTGGAAGCTGATATTCAACAACTTTTTCTATTGATATTCAAGACCAAATAGCAAAGAAAAATATTAAAAAGTCCACAAATAAAATTTGGATGCTGCATAACCAGGAGAGAGGTGACAACAATAAGAGATATAATAGAACCTTGCAAACTAATTATATCAATTATATACTAATTATATTATATATAATTAGTATATAATTGATATAATTAGTTTGCAAGGTTCTAACATATCTCTTATTGTTGTCTTTTGATATATTATATCAAATATATACTAATTATATCAATTAAACCACTTACCACCGACCGATTTAGAAAACCTTTATCATTTGGCTTCGTCAGAGTTTTCTCGGCACTTTACCGAAAAAAAAACCAGCCACGTAACTCTTACCGTTTTCTTGATTAGGCCGCTCGGAAATTACACGCGCACACACACACACACTCTGAGATTATTGTTTAAGATACTTTTTGCAAAAATACTTTTTGCAAAAATACCATTTTTTGTCATAAACAACCTTATCGTGTCTGCCAAACGGGCATCACAAGTCAACTGGGTCAATAAAGAATAATAATTTATTATAATAATTTATTATAATAATAATATATTATATTATAATATAATATATAATAATAATGATAATTTAGTTGTTCTACTCTGTGGCATCTAGATTACGAGTTACTGCTGACTTCATGCAATATTCCCAATATTCTACTGACTAAATACTAATTACACAGACAATTTAGGTTTAGTTGACCCGTTTAAATGATAGCAAATTTTCCGGATCTTAATTTTGATTTGAAACTTTCATCAAATAATACAGAAATATGCAACATGGAAACTTAAATGAAATCATAACGACAAAGAATGTTTATGCTGCGAAAATGCTTGGAGTTGGACTGGCATTTTACTGTAATATATAGTTAATTGATAATAGTAAATAGTAATTATAACCATTAAGTTTACCATCATGCTCCAAAACCGTTTATGTTTCAGATTTCGCCAAAAAAATCAGGAAAAAAGTGTCCATCAAATTTATGTTTAAGTCTATAATACAAATCTTTACAATCCAAATATCGCCTATTCCAAATTCACTAGATAACTACATTTTATGTTTAAGTCTATACAAATCTTTACAGTCCAGATATTATCGCCTATTCCAAATTCACTAGATAACTACATTTTCATACACTACTAGTTACCATAGTTACACTACTAGTTACCATAGTTACACTACTAGTTACCATAGTTACACTACTAGTTACCATAGTTACACTACTAGTTACCATAGTTACGCTACTAGTTACCATAGTTACACTACTAGTTACCATAGTTACACTACTAGTTACCATAGTTACACTACTAGTTACCATAGTTACACTACTAGTTACCATAGTTACACTACTAGTTACCATAGTTACACTACTAGTTACCATAGTTACACTACTAGTTACCATAGTTACACTACTAGTTACCATAGTTACACTACTAGTTACCATAGTTACACTACTAGTTACCATAGTTACACTACTAGTTACCATAGTTACACTACTAGTTACCATAGTTACACTACAAATTCACTAGACACCATATAAGTGTTGTCATGGTTACCACTAGATAACTACATTTTCAGATTGAATACCCGGAGACGGAACACGTGGACGACTCTATCATCTCCCACTCCGCATTCCGGCACCTTGATGCGGACAGGAGGGCTCTGAAGCCGCTCCGGTTCGCTACCATGCTGAAACTACTGATCAGGAACAGCACTGTGGACCAGGAGATACCGCCCTCCCACAGTTAGTCATACGCTTCCTCAAACTCTTCAAATAGCAGTCGGTTAACCACAAAAATTAACATTTAATGACAGGGTTTTCTAGAGGGCACCCACCCCCCCCCCCCCCCCAAAATAACGCTTGTTTCCCCTCCCCTCCCCCCAAAGTAACGCTTGTTTCCCCTCAGAGCACCTGAAATAACCCTTGTTTCCCCTCAGAGTACCTGAAATAACCCTTGTTTCCCCTCAGAGTACCTGAAATAACCCTTGTTTCCCCTCAGAACCCCCAATGCAACGCTTGTTTCCCCTCAGAGCACCTCAAATAACGCTTGTTTCCCCTCAGAGCACCTCAAATAACGCTTTTTTCCCCTCAAAACCCGCCCCCCCCCCCCCCCAAATAACGCTTGTTTCAGAGCACCTGAAGCCGATGGCAGTGTTAAAGAGGATCTGCTCCCAGACCTGGGTGCCGGAACTGTGTCTGTCCACCCCGGAGAAGTTAGTGTCTATCAACTACCTGGCAGATAAGGAGATTACACCCCACAACGCTCAGCTCCTGCTCCATCTCATTTGTAATCCCCAATCTACTGACATGCCTTCTACTGACCCTACCGAACTTATCGGCAACATCATCAAGGTTTATACTTTAAACTTAGTTACCTAGTAACCTAGTAACTCAGTAACCTAGTAACTCAGTAACCTAGTAACCTAGTAACCTAGTAACCTAGTAACCTAGTTACTATGAAGAAGTAGTAACATCTCATTTGTAATCCTCAATCTACTGACATGCCTTCTACTGACCCTACCGAGCTTATCGGAAACATCATCAAGGTTTATACTTTAAACTTAGTAACCTAGTAACCTAGTAACCTAGTAACTCAGTAACCTAGTAACCTAGTTACTATGAAGAAGTAGTAACATCTCATTTGTAATCCCCAATCTACTGACATGCCTTCTACTGACCCTACCGAGCTTATCGGAAACATCATCAAGGTTTATACTTTATAATATCTTGTTTTAGGTTTGTCATATTGTGACCTCTACATCAAGATTCGAGAAGGTTACTGGGTCTATATATATAAAGAAGACAACCAAAATGTTTGCAACGGCCTTATTATATTATTATTAATATACAACTTATGAAGCGTTAGCAACACACGAAATTGCCAATAATTCGATATGTTTCACGATAACTCATAATATTTCAATTTGTCAATAATCGCGGTGGTTACGAGCTCGAAAAAAAGTCGACTAGCATACTAATAGTAGTGAATTACAAGGATATTTGAGTCTACATCATCTTCAATAAATTTATAATATACTTATATAATATAGGTGCGGCCAACTAAGCTAAGTAAAGTAGTAATATCCTGTATTAGCTTGGTAATATCCTGTTAAAATCGTGTAACCTGTTGTACCCCCCCCCCCCCCCGAACCTGTTGTACCCCCCCCCAACCTGTTGTACCCCCCCCCCCCCCAACCTGTTGTACCCCCCCCCCAACCTGTTGTATCCCCCCCCCAACCTGTTGTATCCCCCCCCCCAACCTGTTGTATCCCCCCCCCCCCAACCTGTTGTACCCCCCCCCCCAACCTGTTGTATCCCCCCCAACCTGTTGTATCCCCCCCCCCCAACCTGTTGTATCCCCCCCCCAACCTGTTGTATCCCCCCCAACCTGTTGTATCCCCCCCCCCCCCCCCCCAAACCTGTAGTATCCCCCCCCCCCCCCCCCCCCCCCAACCTGTTGTACCCCCCCCCCCCCCAACCTGTTGTACCCCTCAGAATATGGACATGTGGACCATGAGGTCAGCTCACCTGAAAGTAAGGTTGATAAGAGTAAGGAGCAAGGAGAATAACGAGGGGGAGGAGGAGGAGGCGGCTACCCTCAAACTCATCACTGACGCTGTCGTCTGTACTCTGGGACATCTCCTCACCGAGGTAGGGTTTAAGGGAACAATAATAATTTTAATATAGTTGCCTGGTAACCTAGTAACCTAGTAACCCAGCAACTCTATTAACCTACTAACTCAATAACTAATTTAAATAGTAATAATATAATCAGTAGTCAATGACTAGACATGGTTATTGCGATGAAAAGTTACATGGAATGATGGCGTCTGGGCTTGGGAGCAGCTCACACTCATAGTACATTACATTAATGCCCTCTGAATACCATCAGGCTAGCTAAAGAAATGAATATGTTAATAGTAGTAGTATTAGTAGTAGTAGTAGTTATAATAGTAGTAGTAGTGTGTAAAATCCGGATTGGAGTATTATTTATGAGTCGTATGGTTGTAATGTATTCTGTGTAAAATGATCTTTATCCCGGTTGTTGCGACAAGTAAAAATGCTCTTATTAGGGAAAGGAGATTACTCGACGTTTCAATGTAACTACATCGTATTCATAAACTCAAATTATTTGTTATATAGTAGTGTTGAAAGTACTACTAGTAGTAGTAGTGTCACGTGACATCTAACCTGGTTCCCTACAGATAGCACGCGGAGGGTGTAAGAACGCAACTCTCTGGCTGCTCCCCACATTCATCAACAAGCTTCACGACCAGGTCAAGGAGCACCTCATCAAGTGGCTAGGTTAGTTCGTTAAAACGGGGCGTGGTCCGGACTCTAGTCCGGGACTCTAGTTCGGGACTCTAGTCCGGGACTCTAGTTCGTGACTCTAGTTCGTGACTCTAGTTCGTGACTCTAGTTCGTGACTCTAGTTCGTGACTCTAGTCCGGGGCTCTAGTTCGGGACTCTAGTCCGGGACTCTAGTTCGGGACTCTAGTCCGGGACTCTAGTTCGTGACTCTAGTCCGTGACTCTAGTCTGGGACTCTGGTCCGAATTATAACAGGGCGTATTACAAAATAAATGCAATAAATATTTATTGAGGTGAACTTCCGTAGAGAGCAAGTTTTCGGTTATTATTATTACTGATGTAATATCTTATATCGTATTATATATAACTGTATGTATGCGAGACGATATACATATGTATGTATATATAATTATATATATATAAATTGTGGGTGGCGTCGTCTGCTGACAGTGCTCAATCGGCAAGCTGAGAGCTAGATACAGTTGTCACTGATGATATCATGGTTTGGTATCATGATTGAAACATTTGTCTGACTCAACCGTTCGTTTCAATTTCTATATATTATATATATAATATATCCATACCATTTTACTGACTCCACGGCATCAACTTTAACACGACTTTCCGCAAAAACCGTAAAAGATATACAACTTAAAATAAAAAATTTGCCAAGGAATAAGAATTTTAGTGCCCAAAATTTGGACCCCCAAGTGGTGTAAAAAAAGCGAATTAAATAGGCAATAATTATTTTAGTCTCTTGAGTCTTGACTTCATTTTAGGGTTGGACGGGTTCGTGCTAAATATAATGGTATTATTATAATAAATATAATGGTATTATTATAATAAATATAATAGTATTATTATAATAAATATAATAGTATTATTATAATAAATATAACGGTATTTTTATAATAAATATAATGGTATTATTATAATAAATATAATAGTATTTGGTTTCTTGGTGTGTTTTGAGGGATGTTGCTCAAATTAGGAATTTCCAAATTTAATACAAGCTACGGCAACAAATATTGATATTGCAGAATCATGCAAACTCCTCTCGAGAACATTTGTTCGGTAATTAAATAATAATATTAAATATATTCAATCCGCAGAAGTGTACAGTTTATCAAAATGGCTGAGGAATGCACAGATCTATGATCATATCATCGATATACGTTTCTTCAAACATTTCAACCTTCTTCGTCACTTTCTACGGTATGGTTCTGAAAACGATCCTTTGGGTTAGACGGGTTCCTGCTAGTCTAATATAATACATAAAGTAATACATGATCCATAAATCTCCTAATTCTGTCTTCTGGGATCTCTCTTATGGAAATTGAAATCTGTATATTCTCTCACATCTTGTGAAATAAAACTCTCTTTATTAGTGAAACAAAAATCAATTAATAACAACTCAAATTATGTACATAAATATGGATAGATCTTTATTCATTCCACACAAGCCCCTATTTCTGTTCATCCTGCAGAAAAAGGGGAATCTTTAAAAATAGACTAAATTTGTCGTTCTTAATGTAAATGGAATGAAAAATGGTCTCGAAAAGTCGAAAAATTTGACTTAAGTTGTTGTAGACTAATAATTTGCGAAATTTGTTACTAACATTATGGTAACCAAAATTCGCGTGAAAATTCCCAGTACAATATGTGTAATTAATCAAACTAAAATGATTAACAAAGATTATCTGACAGAACTTTCGCCTGTGTCGTCCAACTTAATCTCCTTCAAACTCAACCGTTTCTGCTTCTCCGCGGTAATCTTGGAGAAGAAGATCCCGTACCCGAAGTAGATTATGAGCCCGACAATGCAGTAGATAACCAGCTGTTTCAAGGCTACCACCTCCAGATGGAAGAGAAGCAGGAGGTTTACAAAGACTGAGAACCCCTGAACGAAGGGCTTTCCCGGGCTTTTAAAAGACAGTGTCCCGTCCTCCTCTTGTGCCTTTAAAGGAATCTTGCATCTGATGAGAGTGAGACTGACTATCATGATGATAGCAAGGACCACCTCTGAAACAATCACTGCAGTGGACTGTTCGAGGAATGCTGTGAGGAATGCCAACACGATGGTGGCCAGCAGGAAGACACACATGAAGATGATGAAGAGATGTTTTCTGGCGTGAGTCTTCTCTGCGGTCAGTGGAGTTTCCTCGGTTTCTTCCATGTCTGGGTCCGTTAGGTCGTAGGAGAGGATCATTACTGCTAACGCTGTGATCACAAACACTGTCAGGGTTCCACCAGAGATCTGGAGAGGTTTACGTTAGCAGGTTACTAGGTTACCAGGTTACTAGGTTACCAGGTTTCTAGGTTACCAGGTTACTAGGTTAGCAGGTTACTAGGTTACCAGGTTACTAGGTTACTAGGTTACCAGGTTACTAGGTTAGCAGGTTACTAGGTTACCAGGTTAGCAGGTTACTAGGTTACCAGGTTACTAGGTTAGCAGGTTACTAGGTTGCCAGGTTACCAGGTTACTAGGTTTACGTTAGTTACAATATCTTAACATATGGTGGCAATCAATAATCAATATCCATCATGTTTATAGAAATATGGATCATGGACGGAAATATTCTATGGTCAAAAATCAAGATTACAAGTAAGATAAAATCATCTTATTATCTCATAAACAACTCTAAAGTAACCTCAAGTAAGTAACTCACCATATGACTGAGGGTATCGAACTCGTACACGATACTGGACAGCATCCCCACCACACTGCACACCACCACGTTCCACATGGGTACCTGAGTCCTCTTGTACACGCTGTTCAGGAAGGGGAACAGTAGGCCGTCCTCCGCCACGGAGTACACTACGCGGACTACTGTAGTTACAGTGCAGAGTCCGCAGGAGAATACTGTGAAGATCAGCCCGGCTGTTACTACGTACTGCGGTAGTGTCAGTCCTGGGGGAGACAGGTTCAGTTACTATGGTTACTCTGTAATTCACATGTTGGTAGTGTCAGTCCTGGGGGAGACAGGTTCAGTTACCATGGTTACTCTGTAATTCACATGTTGGTAGTGTCAGTCCTGGGGGAGACAGGTTCTGTTACCATGGTTAATCTGTAATTCACATGTTGGTAATGTCAGTCCTGGGGGAGACAGGTTCAGTTACCATGGTTACTCTGTAATTCACATGTTGGTAGTGTCAGTCCTGGGGGAGACAGGTTCAGTTACCATGGTTAATCTGTAATTCACATGTTGGTAATGTCAGTCCTGAGGGAGACGGGTTCAGTTACCATGGTTACTCTGTAATTCACATGTCAGTCCTGGGGGAGACAGGTTCAGTTACCATGGTTACTCTGTAATTCACATGTTGGTAATGTCAGTCCTGGGGGAGACAGGTTCAGTTACCATGGTTAATCTGTAATTCACATGTCAGTCCTGAAGGAGACGGGTTCAGTTACCATGTTTACTCTGTAATTCACATGTCAGTCCTGAAGGAGACGGGTTCAGTTACCATGGTTACTCTGTAATTCACATGTCAGTCCTGGGGGAGACAGGTTCAGTTACCATGGTTACTCTGTAATTCACATGTTGGTAATGTCAGTCCTGAGGGAGACAGGTTCAGTTACCATGGTTACTCTGTAATTCACATGTCAGTCCTGAAGGAGACGGGTTCAGTTACCATGGTTACTCTGTAATTCACATGTCAGTCCTGGGGGAGACAGGTTCAGTTACCATGGTTACTCTGTAATTCACATGTTGGCAATGTCAGTCCTGGGGGAGACAGGTTCAGTTACCATGGTTAATCTGTAATTCACATGTTGGTAATGTCAGTCCTGGGGGAGACAGGTTCAGTTACCATGGTTACTCTGTAATTCACATGTCAGTCCTGAGGGAGACGGGTTCAGTTACCATGGTTACTCTGTAATTCACATGTCAGTCCTGAGGGAGACGGGTTCAGTTACCATGGTTACTCTGTAATTCACATGTCAGTCCTGAGGGAGACGGGTTCAGTTACCATGGTTACTCTGTAATTCACATGTCAGTCCTGAAGGAGACGGGTTCAGTTACCATGGTTACTCTGTAATTCACATGTCAGTCCTGAGGGAGACAGGTTCAGTTACCATGGTTACTCTGTAATTCACATGTCAGTCCTGAGGGAGACAAGTTCAGTTACCATGGTAACTCTGGGGGAGACAGGTTCAGTTACTCTGTAATTCACATGTTGGGACTGTGTTTCCAATGGAATATTTGAGTCTGCAGGTTCAAGGTTGGTGATGTATGTATAGTGTGCAATGTGTATACTTATTACTAATATAGAGATAAGCTTACCTTTACGTTTGAGAGATCCAATAAGACCTGTGTTTCCCCCGACCTCATACCACGGTTCAATGAAAGCGATGGAGAAAGCTGTTACCACGTACAGAACCAGCACTATCAGGAAGGAGCCCATGGTAGCCCGAGGGAGATCTCGTTTAGGGTCGACGGACTCCTCCGCTAGAGTCACAACTGACTCCAGTCCCACGAATGCGAAGAAAGCAGTCCCCGCTCCCGTCATGATGCCGCTGAACCCGAACGGAGCGAACCCCGTCCTTCCGTCCGCTGGATTAACCACTCTGGAGAGGTTAGCAACGTCTCCATTCACCAGCGCCACTATGTTGAAGGTTAGCAGAGATATCGCAGAGACCCCAGCTATGGCAATGTTCAGATAGGACACTGTCTTTATTCCTGCCATGTTGATAGCCATGAAGAGGAGCATGATACCAATAGCGATCAGATCTGTGTGTAGCAACCAGTCAGGAAAGTTTGAGCTCTGCCATTCTTGGACAGTCCCATTAATGAGGAACTTGTCGATGTTGTCAGACAGTCCCAGGGTTAACATTGGAGCCTGTATGATCAGCTCCCCGATCAGGAAGAAACCGGAGATGGCAGCTGCGAGTTCTCCCATTGAGAAGTAAGTGTAAACGTAGGAGGAACCAGTGCAGGAGTACCTGGTGTTAAAATATTGTGAGGAATCATGTGACCTAGTAACCTAGTAACTTAGCAACCTAGTAACCTAGTATTTAATAACCTAGTAACT